AATTATGTTTGTTTTAACAACAACAAGCCTAAGTCACTATACTCATGATATTCTATCAAATCAGGAGCTAGTTCAGTTTTAGTGCATTTTTAATTTTGATCTGAAACCATAGCCTCCATAGCAGGCTTATAGAACTGGGGGTTGGGTGGTCTTGGGCTGTTTTCTGATTAGTCCAGTTAAAAAAAACGGTAATTCAACCAGGCCGGCTATGTTGTCTATATGCAATCAGAAAATATCACATAAAAGCTTCCAAAGACCCTGAAGACCCCCAAAATCCCCAGTTTTTGGCATGCTATGGAGGCTACTGAAACACCTGCTCGGCGGGGCGAAATTATGCAAGAAGTTACACCAAGGACATTGTGATAGAACGTGTTCCGATGCACTTTGATCAGTGACCCGCGGTCATCGAACTCTGAATTCAAATTTTCTTCCAAAATTGATTTTTGGCCTAAAATAGAACTTTTTTGAACCCATTTTTTGGCCATTAAAATCATTTTTGACATCTATGTTGACCAAAAAAGACCAAGGTTCGGTATGTTAAATACCAATCTACTAGCATGCTAAATTTCATTTCCATTCAGGCTCTAATTACAAAAATATTGACGTTTTTTCCGTGTTTCCTATTCACTTTTCTTTCCCTACCGACCTCCTGCTTGGAGATTGGGATCTAACAGTGCTTGCAATGCATGGGTAGAACTACTAGGGTAGCCCGTGCTGTTCTAATTAGAGGCAGGATGCATGAGATACCAAATGCAGATAACCACATGTGGTGCGCTTAATGGACCATGGTGTTATATGTTAGACAGTGGTTCAGAATGTGTGTCCTGCTTTTTCACAGTGTCTGTGTTAGTTTTCTGTTAGGAACCTAACAAGATAATGTAACATTGCAATGATCCCTGGGGTAACCACATGCAGATAACCACATGTGGTGCGCTTAATAGTGTTATATGTTAGACGGTGGTTCAGAATGTGTGTCCTGCTTTTTCACAGTGTCTGTGTTAGTTTTCTGTTAGGAACCTAACAAGATAATGTAACATTGCAATGATCCCTGGGGTAACCACATGCTGATAACCACATGTGGTGCGCTTAATAGTGTTATATGTTAGACGGTGGTTCAGAATGTGTGTCCTGCTTTTTCACAGTGTAATCAGGGGTCCTTGTACTGATTATCTTCTTAGATTTCTAACAACAAATATAAAACATATGGTGTTAGATGTTAGACAAGAGTTAAAAATGCATGTCATGTTTTATCTGCATGTTTTCCTCAGTGCCTGCTCCTCTATCTGTGCTCCTTAGTTGAGAAGACAGGGTGACATTTGCGCCACCTATTTACACTTCCTGGAACTGCAATTACAAATTGAATATAAATTACATGACATTACATACTGTTAGATTCCCTGTTAGGTTTCTAACAGAAAATTTAAGATTGAGCAACACTGTCTGTTGGGTGTTAGGAGGCAGTAAGAAATGCTTGTCAGGATTTCCTTAGACCAATCTCTTTGGTCAGACAGTGTTATACAATTAGTCAATGACTGTTAAGTTTGTTGTTAGAAAGCTAACAAGAGAATCTAACAGTACAAGGATCCCTGACTACCAGATGCAGATAACCACATGTGGACCTAATGGACCATGGTGTTAGATGTTAGACAGCAGTTGAAAATGCATGTCATGTTTTTCTATACAGTGTCTGCATGGAAGAAAAGACAGCCCAGCTGCAGAGAGTGTGACATTTGCGCCACCTGTCTACGTTTCCTGGAATTGCAATTACAAACATGTAACAAACGTAACAACAGTGAGCCAAGCTGTTTGTGTTGGGTGTTAGGCAGGGCAGCAGTAAGAAATGAGGTTGAAAACCAGTGAATTCCCCTGGGTGCAATATCATTCAATGTTAGGTTTTCTGTTAGGTTTTGAAATGCACCATGGTTTGCTATGTCCAATTTCTTGCCATATATAAGTAACCATGATGTTAGTTTTAGCGGATAACATCGCTGAAGGGAAGCCGGCGTTCCAAACCTCGGTGGTGTGGGGTATGGTTGCCGGTCTGGCCGTTGACGGGAACACCGACACTGACTATTACCATGACTCCTGTCAGCACAATGAGGGAGAAAGCAACCCCATGTGGTGGGTGGATCTCGGACAATCATTTTCGATTAACAGGTACGTGAAAGTCGTCTTGTTTAAAACAAAAGAGACAAACCGTGACCAAGGCCGCCACAGATTACCCCTCATATACATATGCAACACGCTTGTCCAATCACATGACCTGCTGGCCTTATAGGTCACATGACTACCTTCTTTAGCAGCTGAAGATAGATGGCAAATGTCACTTCTGTGCTTGAAACCTTGAGTCGTGTGTATCATTTATTTATTAATATATTTCATTTTAAAACAGCTGAGTAGCCCAATCCATTTGTGAAGCTGCTTTCCAATGGGGGTCCAGCATACAACTTCACAGGACATGATAACACTTTCATGTCAGACATTTAGACTAAGTTGCAGCGTTTTACTAAGCATAGCCCTCCACTTTCTAGGCTTATAATGTTACTCGATAGAATGACGACACCAGAGGATATTCTCATTAAAACTCTCAATGCTGGAATCACTGTCATTTGTATGTAAAATATCAATTTCCCAGTGCCCCAGAGGTAGTCTGGAAACCCTTTCTTCACTTCTAAGTTAAACACAGAAGAGTGTTTCGTTGTAATGTGTACATGCACATCTATATATTAGCTCTAACTTATATATTTCAATGTTGTCAACAGGGTGGTCATCTTCAACCGCATGGACTATGGTCCAGAACGACTCAACCCCTTCAACATCCACATTGGGAATTCCTACCAGGTCACATTTTTATTATCAATTTAACACACAGCAATTTATTAAAATTTAACACATAACAATTATTAGTTAGTAGAATATTCTTTGATCAGTGACTGTTTTTGAAAGGTAAAATCACGTACCTGGTACAAATTTTCGGTGTCGACTGTACACCTTGATTGCGGAGTGACTCGTAGTCTCGTGAGAACAATTATTATTATCAATTTTATTTATTGGTTTATTTGTATCAACATATCAACAGGATATCTCTCAGCCTTGACACACAGGGCTGAATTCTGATGTTTGTTTACAACATAAATCATTAATTAATAATAGGGAAATACAAATTATAATCATGTCGGAATCTACAGATTAATATGATATCACTTTGGTTCATCAAATTTAGGTATTTACAATCTTACGTCGTTCAAACCTTATATTACTTAATTTAACACAACAAAACATTAACAAGGACCGTGCGGAACTGAACTTGAGATACAATTAACATATAAACACATAGAGTTAATATGACATTGAAGTAGAGTGACTTCTATACATATATGATATGACTCATTGGTGTAGAAACGTCTCTGTCAATCTGATTAAAAAATACAAGGATTACATATGGACATTGAACGACATTCTATATCTGATTTAGGTAACCTTGAACCCCAAGTGTGGAGGGGACCATTACATCGACGTGAGCCAGCCGTCTATTTCCATCTCCTGTCAGGGGATGACCGGGCGGTACGTCGGCGTTCGTCTGCCCGGAACCTACCGAAGCCTGACCCTGTGCGAGGTCCAGGTCTATTCTAACTAAGGTGCCACAGTTTGCCACATGTTTGTCCGCTACACTTTTCCTTCTTGGTATCCACATGCAATGTGTATGTTTTGCGTATTGCAATGTACACGTATATGTGTATGCAATGTTATAGGATTGATTAAACACCATGTAAAGAAATGACAATTAGAATGACATTCTATCTACTAGTACATGGCCTTATGTATTAAACATAAAGTTGTTCTTGCTTGAGTCACCGTTTGGAATAACATTTAAAATTGGTAGATTCCGATTCTTTGAGTAATTCATTGAATAGGTTAATTTTGTTATTGTTTTTTAGGTGGCCGGACAACATTGTATACATCCGACTGTGGAGGTGTTTCTGCCACCTGGCCTTGCTGTGTTCAGTACATTGATGGTTTCATTATCGAATTATTGTAACGCCTTTTTCTACACAATTTGTGTATTGATTTATACCTAGGTCTCGTATGTAGGTCGATTTTGTTGTACCCACGATTCTGTCTGTATGTTTGCATGCAGTTTACGAAAGTTGCTGTACTTTTGTTGTGTTAATTAAGTTTCATATTTATATGTAGACAAAGGAGGAATTATTCAAGAGGGGTATACCTCTTTGCCAGAGATTATTTGACTTTTGTATGTTTTGAAGGTGACAGCTCTTTTGCTTCCCAGTCTTTTCGGATGTAGGGTTGTATGGTTTTGTTTACAAAATGTATTTTAATTATGCACTGTATAATAATCATCATCATTCAAAGAAATTGTCATAAGAGTAACATTTGACCATATTTCGCTTTGAATTCGTGTACTTGTGGTTTACCAGCATTTTTATTTTTGGCCGGAATCTTTTTTATTACCCGCGCGCACTAGTTTTTGGGTCTTCAGAGGATGTCATCCATAAAATTAAGTCAGTGTGACCTTTTTGACATGTATGTCTGATCCTGTTAACCAGTCTTTCCACACTTATTTCCGACAGATAAGTCTAGATGAGCCTTTCAAAGAAAACGGATTTAACTCTTCCACACCCACAATTCTGTTAGCAATACAAAATAATTGTGTTGCTATTGTCAATAATACCCTAACGCTCTTTGATTGATAGTCAAAAGGTTGTAACTTGATTTAGTGCAAATGACGTTAAACTGAGAGCGTAACTAAATTTGTACCGTTTTAACGGCTTAAAGCAAAGTCAGTACACAATACACAGATTATTGAGCTGACTGTTCTCAATGTATTACAGGAGTTGTTTAGTTTCTCTGCAGTAAGCTCAGAACAAATCTGAGACCGTTGTGGTTTGTGCTTAGCCACGTCTGACCATATATGACCCGCCGGCGGGGATTGGATCCTGGGTATTTGTTTGTTTGTTTGTTTGTTTATTATTTGCACAGCAGCAATAAAAAAAATTATACATAGTAACTTGATAATGAATAAAACAGGTGCAGGAGGAGGGAAAAAAAACTTATTTAGCTTATGCTAAGCCCTCCTTCTGTATACTTACCAAAAGTAAACATAATTGAATTGAAATAAGGCATACATACATACATAAGGAATTGTTATCAAAACAATTCAAACATGGGCAAAATGATACAATAACAATAATGAAACATTAGTATACATAAATTGAGATGAAATGAAATTGATATGAAATAATACATATATACATAAGGAATTGTTATCATAATAATTCAAACATAGGCAAAATAAACAATAACAATAATGAAACAATAGTGTACATTATATATAATAATAACTGAAGATTTGAATCTAATACAAGTGGCTGGGGTGGTTTATAAGATGGGCTTTTAGGGTATTTTCAAAAGTTAGAAAACGACGAAAGGTAACGGACGAAAGCTAACAAGGCTGACACTCAGGCTAGATCCTATTTGCATAATCAGGAGGAATAGTCTTTACTTTGTCAGTCATAAAGATTAGCATCATTTGGCGAAGGTATGAGATCGTGGAACTCAGATAAATATTTATAGGTGGCGCTGTATTGGGAAGGATGCGGTCCCAAACGTAACGAATGGGTCATGGATTTTTGTGAATTTTCTCGTTTAGGGGACGAAAACACTCTATATACAATGCTTGGGACCGCAATCTTCTCACTACAGCGCCGCCTAGCTTGTGAGTCGGGAAACGCAATACACAGAAACACTTCGGAAACACGGATTTCAGTATGTATGTATATCCCATAGACGGTATGTCATCCGTTAACACGCGAATACTACCTCAAACGAGACGTTTTGCCAAGAAGCTATGCCCAAGCCCAATACACCACTTGTTCCATACGCTCTGCCGGTGTTTTATTTGCTTGTTCAGCTGTCAAATAACCAATTAAGCGAGCAGGTCGTTATGAATGGTGTTGACTTTGGGCCTCACTATGCTAATATTTACCAATGGTTTAACCTATAGCTAAAGTGTATACTAGTGTAGCCAAGGAGACATTCATGATCACCTTTGGTCCAGTTTGTCCAATTTTTGTTCCCGTATGTGCCCGAGGCCGTAATCTTATCCTTCAAGGTGGTTTAGAGGTCATAATGTCAACGTTTTGAACAAAGCAGACAAGAAAGAAAATGGCGCCTGGGAGCTGGCTAGTGTTTCTGTGCGTGTTTTTGCCGTTAGGAGGGGCGGTCACCCCGCCGTTTATGAACTATATCCGACCGCCCCCTAAACAGGACGAGTACGATTTCTACTGGCATGTGGGGTACTGGGAGACCATGTTCGAGTACGACGAGGAACGGGATGCGGGCAGGCCCGTACAACTCACCGGGCTGAACCGGTTCGGCAGGCGGGAGACAAATCGTGACGACCCTAACAACTGTGGCAATCTGACGCCCTTAACGGCTGAGGGTGAGAATTTACTTTCATTTTCATTTTCAACTACAACACTAGTGCCAAAAGTGCTGGCAAGTTGACAAACAAAGTGCCTGTTTTGGATCCCAGTGAGCAAACGTTTGAGCATTATTGTCCAACGTTTTTTTTTAAATAATTGTTTTGTTTTCTTTCATGTATTATGATTCTACCAATGGTCTGTAGGATATAACCTTAAACCATTGGACCCCCCCTCGCCCAAATTTATATAGGGTCTAAATTTAAAGCTGCATATGCTTTAAAAGCCTTACGACCATTCGAAATAAATTTAAATAGCAGCAAATTATATCAGGAATAACAGCAAAGATTCATTTACGTTCGGTCTCCAATTTTTGTACATTTTCCTGAGTGTTTAGATTAATCAAAACATGGCCTCTTCCTAGAAGTAAACCACCTCTCGATCACCTATAGTTCAGACACTTTTCTTATATTATCAGAATGAAAAAAACTCTAGTGACACGTGGGTTATAAAGACAATTCTAATACTGGGGATTTTATGATATTTAGCTACCGATATTGTGGAGAGAACGACAGTGATTCTAGCCTGGGTGCAGTCCTCCGTAGTTTTCGCCTGCTCCCTAATGTTGCTTGTTACCACGGTGGTAGCCACCGACATTAGAGAGCGGGCGAAACTACAAAGGATGACACAGGCTACAGTGATTCGGTAGCTACATAATATTGGTAACCAGGCTAAAACATAGTAACGACGCCCACAGAGGGCACAAAGGTCAATCCTGGGAGAAATGTCACTTTTACCGTGAGCGTCCAGGCGTCACACGCCCTATCATGCAACCGCGTCGGTAGACATTCAGTTGTCAAACAGCAAACAAAAGCCCCGTGGAACCACATTCTTTTAACACACTCAAGTTGTTTCTCACCTCAAACACAGACCCTCCAGCTTTATGTCCCAGAGGGCGTCCTTAACCGAAGCTAGGTTCTTATTTTCATCAGCGAGTCTGTCGCAGAAATGGATATAAAGAGCTTTTTAAAGGGACCTGCTAGAAATTTGAAACCCAGAACCTTTAGATTCCAAGTCAACAACCCTGACAATAAGTCGACCTTGCCACACCTGCTATGTAAACATAGGCCGTGTTTATGTGAAGTCACCCAAACCGCGATTCGGGTAACTCACATTCCTCACATCTGATCCACGTGCCACACAATCCTTTGAAACCGTGTCTGATCACAATTCGCCTGAGGTACATTTATTGTTGTTTGATGAAAACACGTAGCGTGTTATTAATGTTAGAGTTCAACGACCTGCTTGCTGATGCCCCCCTCCCAGCGTATCTCGGCCGAATGCCGACGTGGTCCCGCCAGAGGCAGTGAAGCTCGCCCTAGAACTGACACATTTTTTTTTACCATTACTGCTCTTTAAGTTGCTGCTAAGTAAAAGTTGGTATTGCATATAAATAAAGAAATATCAGCCCGTAATCCATGACCAGGCGAAGTCACATTGAAATCACATTGTCATTGCGTTCAAACGCAAATCGCGATGCGGGAAAACCGATTCGAAGCCACCTCTAGAAGCGGCTTGGGATCGAGGCGCTTTCAATGTGATTTGGAGCGTTCAGATGGAGCCACTTGAAACCGGCTTCGGGGTAAACCACATGTAAAGCGCCTTGGGTGACTTCACATAAACACGGCCATAGTTACTGTTACAGTATTGTATCGTCAGATCGGGTAGCGCCTGTAATGCAAGTCCGCTCCTCCTACTTGCTTATTTGACTATACTAGACTGTCGATGTAGGCGGCATAACTCTGGATGGATGTTCATGATTTTTAGTAGTTACTGTATGTAACAGTTGTAGAGACAAAGGTCAAGTTGGTTAATGAGCCTAATGGAGGGTTCCTACATATACGTTGTTGCAGTTGACCTTTAGTGTTTGTTGGTTAGCGTGTTAGTTTACTTGTGACAGTAGGCTACATTGGTATTACTCTTATTTGATCACCACCCTCAAAATAGAGAGCAGGACGGTTGTTGTGGCGGATGGATTCCACCGGAAGTTGATCGCGGTCAACCGGACGTTGCCAGGACCCACCATTGTCGTCTGGAAAAACGCCCAGGTTGTTATTATCATCATTATTCGACCCTATGATATTGTTGTTGTTGCTCTTTTTTCACAACCAAGAGGTTAATTTAGCCGACGTTTCGGTGTATGTTTGGGACCGCATTTTAGACACTGCTCCCTGCAATATATGCTTGTGTTTTATATTTATTTCACAACAATTATGTGTATATCACATATCACATATCCCATTACGTTTGGGACCGTATTGTTGATACTGTTTACTGTAACCGTACTGTAACTTTGCGTTTGTGAACGCATCTATTGCGCAATGTGAATAATCAGACTTGAGGTAGGTGACAGACGGTTACCGAATCGTTGGCTGCAAAAAAAACCTCTCTAGGTTGTGTAAAAATAGTCTCTTTATTTAGTGACTTACCAACCTGATGAAATCAACATACTTATGATAGTATTTTCATGGATGTGGTTACTCACAGTTTCTTAACAACATCAGATTCATCATATGTACAATGTAGTTGATTTGACATCTTTTAATAGTCGACTGTCATCATCTCTTTTTCTCTACAGTATCGGTAGTTGATGATAATTACAAAAGAAGTATGTCGAGACAGGATTTAATATATGATTAATCAGAGGATATAAATGTTAAACTAGGCTAGTGAAACATTTATATCTTCTAACTTAGGCCACAGTAAGTAAATTCTATGGATGACATCCTCCGCAGACCCCAAATCTAATGCGAGAGGGCAAAAAAAAACAAGGCGGGCCCAAAAAAACAAAGTTCCTGTATATTGAAATTTTGACATCATGAACCCTGTTAAACAAGAAACGATAGCTATATAGTACTAACTTTACTGCCACCTGTCACAACATCCATTTGTCACTAAAACAACTTTGAAAAGGGAATGTTTTCAATCATTGCACAAATGGTTTTGATCCGTGGGAACGTATAAAAGGAATAAAATACATCACCGCATCAAAGTAAAAGTCAAAACAATATATCAGAACCTTTTCTTGTCTCCTCTCTTCATGTTTATCTGCCATACACGTTCCAGCATGGCAAGGCATGTCAGTCCATTTTCGGAATGTTGACCACCGTCAAAGGGCAACAAAATGTCTTGTTTTTTTCCAAAATCAGGTGAAAATCAATGCGCGCGCGGATGTCATCCATAAAAATTACTTGCTGTGGCCTTATCACATATTCATCCTGTCTTGTATCTATCCTGGCAGTTACCATGCTAACTGCCATCTGTCCAGTTATTTGTTTGTATGGAGGGAGAACAAAAATGAATAATACGTACCCACTAATAAATTAAACTATTACAAAAAATAATATCTCCTCTCCTTTAGAAAGACCTCATGATACACTACAATTGTGCATCTAAGTCCAGTCTTATTACCATCAGTCCAATTTCATTCACCAGGGTGACCAATTACGTTGGTACATGGTCATCACATTCACGCCACAATAGATAATGTATTATCTATTCCCATCTTTTTTATGTTTACCGAAAGAAAATATATTGTTTTTGCTCTGTTTCCTCTTCTTCTTTTCCAAACCAATCAGGTCAATGACCTGAACCAGACGTCTGTCACCAAGGTAACTAGTGTTGGGCTACATCATGTTGCCTCTTCATAGCAAACAGGGATTTAGACTCCTGTCTAACCATATATATGAAAGTTTTTGAGTAAGAATTATTAACAGAACAGACCATATGCAAAGGAAAACAGTATAGATGTTACCTTTCTAGTTAACATTTTTGTTTCTTTTAAGGTGGCCGTTCATGTGACTAACAAGTTGATACAAGAAGGTATCTCAATCCACTGGCACGGCATCACCCAACACAACACGCCGTGGATGGACGGGGTGGGCGGCGTGTCACAGTGTCCCATCAACCCGGGGGAGAGTTTCACGTACAGGTGTGTGGTTAATCAGTAGTTAATATCAACCCGGGGGAGAGTTTCACTTACAGGTGTGTGGTTATTAACTAGTAGTTAATATCAACCCGGGCAGCGGGGAGAGTTTCACTTACAGGTGTGTGGTTATTAACCAGTAGTTAATATCAACCCGGGAGAGAGTTTCACTTATTTCACTTACAGGTGTGTGGTTAACCAGTAGTTGATATCAACCCGGGGGAGAGTTTCACTTACAGGTGCGTGGTTATTATTAACCAGTAGTTAATATTAACCCGGGGGAGAGTTTCACTTACAGGTGCGTGGTTAACCAGTAGTTAATATCAACCCGGGGGAGAGTTTCACGTACAGGTGCATGGTTAACAAGTGGTTAATATCAACCCGGGGGAGAGTTTCACTTACAGGTGTGTGGTTAACCAGTAGTTAATATCAACCCGGGGGAGAGTTTCACTTACAGGTGTGTGGTTAACCAGTAGTTAATATCAACCCGGGGGAGAGTTTCACTTACAGGTGTGTGGTTAACCAGTAGTTGATATGAACCCGAAGGAGAGTTTCACGTACAGGTGTGTGGTTATTAACCAGTAGTTAATATCAACCCGAAGGAGAATTTCACTTACAGGTGTGTGGTTATTAACCAGTAGTTAATATTAACCCGAAGGAGAGTTTCACTTACAGGTGCGTGATTATCAACCAGTAGTTAATATCAACCATAAAAATAGCTTCACCTACAGGTGAGTAGTTAATGTTAACCAGTAGTTACTCTCAACCCTTGTGAATAGCTTTACCTGGTTACGAGGTACACGAGATTAAACGTTGTTTTTTTCTTTAGGTTCAATGCCACAGAAGGAGGAACACACTGGTGGCACGCCCACTTAGGCACCTTCAGGACAGACGGACTGTACGGGGCGCTTATTGTACTGGAGGAGGATGAGCAGGTATGTTAATGCTGCTTGTCAAAAATGGTTTATTCCAAAATAAAATGCAACTGTATTCCAAATACAGTGTACGTTGTATTCCAAAACGAGATCCATTCCAAAACATAAGGTTTTGGTTTCACATGTTTTATTTTTAAGGTTAACCTGAAGTAATCTTAACACAGATGTACACACGTACACGCACAAACATGCACACATAAACACACGCATACACATGCACGCACACACACACACTCACATACACAAATGCAAACACTTACACACACGCCCACACATGCATACACTCATGAACACATGCACACACACACCACACACACACACGCACACACACACACGCACACACACACACACCAATGCACACACGCACACACGAATGCACACGCACATGCACACACACGCATACACATGCACACTAACACGCACACATGCACACACACGCACAGGCACACACGGCACATGCACACTTGCACACGCACATGCACACTAACACACTCACTCACACACTCACAGACACACACAGACACACACAAACACACAAACAAAATATGTTTTGGAATAACAAGTTTTGGAAGGCAGCAGTGACTTAATTCTCTCCACGTTTTACCACAGCCAAGATTGCCGGCCTTTTCGCGTGAATTCATTGTTCTGCTCCATGACTGGCAAAGGGAGGAATCACTGGATATAGCTCTCAGGGTCAACTGGGAAGCCTCAAGGTCAGTTTAATTTGTCTATATCGACCCCAATACCTTACCTTTTTATTGTATATGAAATTATAATGAGGCTATGTTTATTATATATATTAATTATGGTTGCTTACCTTGAATGTCAGTACTTTATTTTTATCAAAGAGAAACAGACACAAAGCTTTACTGTTGGACAGTGCGCTGAACCGGCTCTTCGGCATTTTGCTGCTGGAATGTCCCACTACCTTTGGCTTGCGGACCGCAACTGCATGCTAGGGGTCGCTTTTGATCCATGCGATTGGAGTACCAGATGTGGCTTACTGTAGTGGCTAAAATAAATCTTGCTAAAAATTTGTGACGTTAATAAAGGACGCATGCAGTCAAATATTTCAGTACAATGTTAATCTAAAAGCTTTTTTGCAGCTCCAGGATGTATATCTAAAACCTACATGTACATAAGCTCATTAGGTCATTACAATGATGACTATGGTGTTCCCTTATCTTGCAGGTTTTCCTACGGGTACGATAACAACTCCCAGTGTTACTATAACAAACGGCAACATGACGGCACGGAGATCGCACCCATACCGTTTGTGTCAGGACTCATCAACGGGAAAGGTTATCAGATTTTACCTTTCTAAATAATTCGCGTACTATGATATAGAACGCTGAGGCGACATTTTCAGTCAAATACAGGGTGTTTATTTCTCACCGTGCATTCTATGTGTGGTATTCAATATATTTAGTACCTAAGATCCTATCCGTATTTGTTCTCAATAAGTTTTCATCTCTCAACAACATTGATTTTTTGCTTAATGAAAAGCATTATACATCGGATTAGTGTTGTTTCAGCCCACTATATGTACTTCATGTACCGTCTACTATACTGCATTTAAATGACTAGACTATTTACTTTGAAAAACCTGGTTTACAAGTCCTAAAACTAGCAGCTTCAGTTTTTTTACATACCACTAGCGTTTGTGTGTACGGGAAGACAGAAATCCTTGAATATTTCTCAGGCCGCCGTTACTACAACGACGGGTTGGAGTCTGAAAATCAGAACGTCCCTTTGGAGACTTTCGAGGTGCATTCTGGGGTCAATTATCGCTTCCGGGTCATCAGCGCTGCCATGAGCTACGCCTTCCGGGTCTCCATCGACCGACACGAGCTGACTATGATCGCTACTGACGGTAACAGGTGAGTATTGAGGAGACACAGCACTAGTAATCATGAGTATCTCTAGTGTTTTATTTGCCGTGATGGTGCGGACCGCTACTCCTTTCCACTCTCTTCTGCCCCGAAGTCAAATTCATATATTCCTGTCAACTGTCTGTTTTATATGTGATCTTACAAGAGCTATAAACTTGATTTATTGGCTTATATTTTAAATACAAGTTCTAAGTAACAAGAAAGTTTTTTTCTGTCAAGTTGTATTTTGTCGTTCAGGTTGATGTACATTAACCAAGTAATGTTTACAAATACCTTTGAAGAAGGGCAACATAACTTTTTGGCTCAGTTTCTTCTTCTTTGCAACACACAAAGTCTATGACCTAGACCAGAGGTCTGTCACCGGGTAACTTGTGCTTTAGTAGACTCCCTGTGCACGTATATGGATGGGCTGTTCATCAAATATTTAAGTAAGGATAAATAGAGCAGTGTGGTTTGTTGGGCTAGACAATGTGAAGATAACATTACTAGGTATTTGCTTTGCAAATGTTATCTATCTTGTTGCTAAATCTTCTTCTACGTTATTTACTATAGAATCAAGGATGAAAAGGCAGAGTCTTTCATCATCAACACAGGAGAGAGATTTGACTTCTACATCTCTACAAAAAACAAGCCGGTTCAGAACTACTGGTTACGCGCGGAGACACTGGAGGACACTGACATCTATGGGGTGAGTTGTGGTAACAGAACACGGTATCAACGGACGACCCCAGGAGAATAGAATGTAGTACATACAAAGTTCTTAAAGCACAGTTAGAACATCTTATGTGCGAGATAGCCAGCTAAGACTGCCTATGCTGCCTATGATTAGGATTATAAAGCTTTTCCTGTTCGTGTATTAAAACATCGTATTGCGGCAGACACGTAATGTTTTTTTTCTATTCCAACATTTATCAAAAGAGATGGTGACTGGAGTACTGCTTCTTTCCGCTGTATCTTTCCTACGTAAGAGGCGCGAACACAGTCCAAGACCCCCCTCCCCTCGTCCGGTTCATCAATACGTTTAACTTTGTTATCCAGATCACACCCTTGGCCCAACGGATACGCATGTTTTCCACAGAGTCAGTCTATCACATTGGTCCCACTCTATTACGCATTTTCTAGCTATACGGTCCGTCGGTGACGATCATTTGACATATGACCATATTAAAATCCTCACCTTTACACACAGACTGCAGTGCGGCCACATTCTGCCAAGGCTATACTCCACTACCAAGGAGCGCCCGTGGATAGCGACCCCGCCACTACAAGGAGACCATGCGACGCATCCAATGACTGCACTGTGGTCAACTGTCCATTTGAGTGAGATACGCGTAGGGGCTGAATACAGGCGACCTGTACAAGCCACCTACTGTACTATCAATATCTTTAAAATATTTGGCAATGATTTTTTCATATAGCACACACTGCTTTGTCGATAAAAGAAATGATCCGTAAATAATTTCATCAGGTTGGAAGATACTTAGGGTATAGAATTTTCTTCTTACACAACCAGTAAGGTTCTCACCTGCTTACGTTTCGATGTCTATCAGACACCTTCCTCAGAGCTTCTGACTGGAGTTCTGCAACTCGCCGCTATTTAACGCCAAAGTAGGTGGCGCTTTTGCGGCGAGAATGCAATCCCAAACGTGGCTGAGCTTGTATCCCCCCTCGTCCCGGTTCATCACTGGGGTAGACTTCCTTATCCAGACTGCTTCTTTAATCCAACGGATTCTTCTGTTGTCCTCCCTATCTATGACCCTGGCTCCCTCCCAGTCTATCACACAATTGTTTCTGGCAACATGGTCTGTGACTGCCGATTTCTTCTCTTCTTTTTGTGCTTGTTGTTTCTGGGAGCGTGTATATCTTACGGTTTCACTGTTGTCTGCCTCTTTTCTGTGTTCTTCCAGTCTTTTGCCAAAGGTCCTGCCAGTTTCTCCAATGTACACTTGATCACAGCTTTTGCATGGTATTTTGACATCGAAACGTAAGCAGGTGAGAACCTTACTGGTTGTGTAAGAAGAAAATTCTATACCAAAAGAAATGATATGCTACTAGATCTACATGTAGGCTGGCTCCTATTTTCCAGGGCAAAAACCACTAGTTTGAGCTCTTATTAAAATATATGGTAGACATCCAAAAAGTAAGCTGTCAAAAATCATCTAACTGGTTTAGACCATGAAAAAGACACATTGACAAGGTAGTCCGCGACCACTTAATTCTCCATGTAGCCTGAAATACCGAGATTTCGTACGGCAGATAGTGTGTGTTTCGGTCAAAACAAATCCTATGACCTATGGCCTATGACCTTTTGTGCCATGGCGAATTTGTGGCCTTTGCCCTGTTATGGAAAATATGATCTCAAAATTCCCTCATAATGAGTGTTACCAAGTCAGGTCCAAGAGTCACAACATGCTGGTGGGAAAATCAATAAACGCATACAGTAAAATCACACACACTCTGATATCTTCACAGAGAGAGAAAATATTTTATTTCATAAACTTGGCAATCTAAAAACTTCTGTTGTTATATTTGATAAAAAAAAACAGAATTTTAGCCATGCTTGTGTTGTCTGCTTCGCTAAAAAAGATATAGGACTGGTTTTCTTGCGGTCATTAGCTGTCCATGAGGTCAGGGGTTACTTCTCAGGTTTCGGGCAGAATTCACGCATGCTGCCGCTGGATAGCATTTTTTTTGTCTAAATAAACACTTTAGAGGTTGGACCACCCTGCGAAAGTGTTCTTTCAAGGTCTAAAACTTAGGTAGATGACTTTAGGCTACGATGTTCTGACATAGTTCCCATATATTAACATAGGAAAGAGAATTACTTGGTTGTCAGGATAAATCAGAACTTGCCTAGTCATGTGCGGCGGAGTAATAAATACACCTATTGGCGTCGTCCCTGCTCGATACTATAAATTTGTGGACTACTAAATATAAAATCGTTATTTTTCTGTCTTTAGAAACTATCCACCCGGCAGCTATAAAACATGTATGAACGTCCACGAGTTACGGTCTGCTCTTAATGAGGACGCTCCTCGGCGGGAGAGCAAGTGGGAGGAACACTTCATCAACTTCCACTTCTCTGGGAACGAGCTGAACGGGGCTCAGCGGTCTTCTGTCAACGGACATCGCTTCATACCACCGAGGTCTCCTCCAACGGTATGTCCCTCTGTTCTTTTGGTCTACTTAAATTAATGTCAGTAAAAATACAAAGTGACAAGGGATAGAGTTGCACAATTTGAGCGGAAAACGTATAAAACGTATAAAAGCGGG